CGCAATTAATAAGAAAAGATAATGATATGATTACTTTTCTGACAGTATAATTTTAAATGATCATTTTAACTATTTCTATATGAAGTATAATTTTTTCTTTATTTTATTAGTAAAATACTTTGAATAACCAGGGATTTATGATCTTCGTAAATGAAACTATTTTGAATACCATCATTTAAGAAATGATAGGCTATTTCGCTCACACCACCATTTCAACACTAACCTATCAACAATCAAGGGGACAAATCGTTGTTGAGTCGTATGAAGATCAATTTATCGTATACCTTGTAAGAAGTTAACCACCTTTTTTTGGGTAAAATTATAGGCACGTATCAGTCACTATCTTTCATTCACAATCAAACGAGGTTAATAAATCCCGAGCAAATGATACAAAATGTGTAGCGATAAAGTAGGATCATCAATAAATATAGACTAAACACCAAAAGGTAAATTATGGTCTAGGCAAGTCAAGAAATCGGCAGCCCGATTGCCCTCTCATATATATGCTCAACTTTAATCATTTAGTTCCGATCCAACATCTCATGAAAATTGGTGATCTCAGAAAAGTGCTGGTATCGTGGTGTGTGAGCTCGCCATCAATAGTAGATTAACCACCTGCTTTGATATTATATGCAAAGTACATAATATTTGAGCTTTAATAATCTTAAAATTTAAGACTTAACTTAGCAGTGCCTTTTAGGAAAAGGAGTCCAAGGTTTATATGAGAAGTTTGTATTTTTATATTTGGTCGTGGACAATGAGTTTAGATATTTAAAACCAAAATCTAGAAGCATATTTAATAATGCTAATTAAACTGGCTCAATTAACTAAATCTACTACAACTAATGAAATATTGGATGAAATAACTGTACTTATAGGGAAAATGGAAAGTAATAATCCAACCTTTTAGCGGTCTTCTTACAATAGTCTCACATTTTGATTATTCATGAATAATCCAACCTTTGCACCTCATCTTCATTCACTGGTCTCTGACCGGTTGATGACCTGCTATTCCAAGTTATTTTTTTTATCTTTGCAAAATATTATCTTTGTGAAAGGTGGATTATTCCCTAACTTATATTCACCTCAAGGAGAAGCAAAAACAACCTTCATTATTAAAGGCTTACAATAGAAACTTTTAAAGTACAATGTAGCAAAAAAATTAAAGAGATTAGAGTACGCAATTGAATAAGTTAAAAATAAAAAGTGAATTGAAGTACGTACTTAAGTAGTTTGGTTGAGAAATTAAATGAAAAGTCTAAATGTCTCATCACTATGCTGACTATGCACGAAGGGTGTGTTTGGGTAACTCGAACAGGATAAATAATTTTTTAATTATATTTATTTAACAATATTAAATTAACAAAAAAAAATCATACACATTAAAAATGAAATGTAAGGTTATTTAAAACAATAAATAAACAAAATAAAATTGATTGTCGAGGCCGGGTACGCTATACACCCGATCTTCCCCGGAACGGAAAATGGACCCCATTTGGTCCCGAACAGTACCGGACCCAATTCTAGACTAGATCCATTCCTCCTATATGCACACATGTATCTGCCGGTGTGATTTTACTGATTTATGCTTTCCAACCTAACCTTTTGCCACAAATTTGATAGATTGTACGGAGTACTTTATAAGACCTTGTAAAACCAATTTTTTTAACTTTTTCAACTACCAAATAAAAAAGGGAGACTCATATACTCTCCTCCAAAACCTAAATCCAAACCAAAAAAAATGAAAAGCCTATACACGAAGTGTGTTGGGATGTCCACAAATGCATTATACATCTGCCGGTGAGATTTATGCTTTCCAACATACCTTTGCCTCAAATTTTGACAAACGTAACAACCGTTTCTCGTCTCATCTTGTCCGTCATGTTTCACGTACTCCTACCTAACTATTCCTTTAATTTAACAACCAATTGAATCCCCTCAATCCTTTGCCTTCTCCCATCCTCACGAATTGACGTTATATTTCCTGTTTAAAAAATCACATACTCTTTCTCTGATCTCCACAAAATTCTTCCTGATTTATCATTAATCGAAGTTTAGTTTAATTAGGAAAGTGAGAATAAAGTGAAAAATGTATCATTGTTATTGAGTAAGTGAGAAGAATTTTATGGGACACATTATTGATCGACCAATTCAATATATCCGACGATTGTTACTAATTTAATACTATCGTATTACTAATTCCTTCCTCCCCTTATTCTGCGCCTTCCCATAATCCCATGGCGTACATGACATTTGTCATCACCCTCCGGCTTCGGGTTCGAATTATTTGGTACGAATTACTGTTTGGTTACTTCGAAGAAATGTGAATTAGTTTGAAAGAAAGAGTAACACTCCTTCCGTCCCTAAACAAAAACATTTGTTTCCTTTTCGTTTCGTACCTAAATAAAAGTCTCATTTCCCTGTTTGACAAACAAAACAATGAATACAATGTTAAAACAATTTCAAACAGTATTTCCTTTTTAAGTTGTATAGGGACGGAGGGATATGACTACTGCCTTTATCAAACCCAAAGTACACTTTTCAAACATGAGCATTATTCTCATTTCCAAAATTTCCCATCAAGCAGCACCTTATAATGGTTGGAATCGATCTTTTCTTTCGCTTCTCTGGTTTGATGTTTGAATGCCACATTCACGCATGCATGAATGTGATGAATCACATAAGTATTTACTTTATTTTATATGAATATGATCGAAAACATTGTATATACAGTTATACACCAAATACATGGTCGGCCGGCCACATGGGTTTGGATTGCTGGGTCGTTGGCCTAGCTTGCAAATAAGACCTGGATCTGTCTGAGTTGTTTCGAGTCCTACCTACTTGCAATCAGCATGCATGTGTGGAGTAACTTTTTTCTTTTCCTTTCTTTTTTAACAATGTAATGTTGTTGGAGTTAACCTTGTTGTTTAGAATCTCATCATGTTTATTTTAGTTTATTTTGAGTCATAGATGCTAGACTAGAGTGTGATCGAGTGCACTGTGCACGGCGGGATGAGTCATGCCAAGTAGTGTGCGTCGCTTGGCACCGTGCATGTATCAGTGCCTGTGTTGCAGCGGCACTGATGAGCGAATGTGCTGTTGCATTAGTGTGTTGGTCTAATTTGCATGGATTGATCAATTAGTTAATTGCATGCATGTTTAATTAATTAGTGGAGTTAGTGAAGATACTAGAGCATCTCCAATGGTTCCTCCTAATGACTTGCTTGTAATTTTTAAAAATATTCAAGCTAGTAGCCTACTATTAGAGTGCATCTTTCCTTCTATTTTGGGCAAGCAAATTAGCCAATACAAGCTAGTTGCTAGAAAGGAGAACAATTTGAACTAAAATGGTAATTACCAAATATATTTAATCTATTGGATAATTGATATATTACCTTCGTCCCGCTTAAAGGTTCCCATTGTAAAATGACCCGGTTATTTAGACAATTATTAATGAAGTAATTCCGGTATATTTTGAAAAATATTTTTGATGGGTATATAATATAAGAGAAAGTTCTCGAAATAGGACTAAAACATTTTGAAAAATTCCAAAATAGGACTGTCATGATTTTTATTCCCAAAATAGGAGTAATTACTGTCAAATTTGGAAAATACTATCATGTTTGAAGTTTGGTACTGCCAACACATGGCAGTAATTAATCATATTTTGGGAATAAAAACATGTCAGTCCTATTTTGGAATTTTCAAACTTTTTAGTCCTATTTTGGATAAATTCTCATAATATAATGGGTCATTGATGATAAATGTGATGTTAAAAATGTATTATTTTTAATATTTGATTATTAAACTATCATTTAAGAGTGTTAATTATTTTTAAAAATAGAAATGAGAATCTTTATATAGATCATTCAAAAAGGAAAGTGAAAACCTTTGAATGAGACGGATGGAGTACTAAATTAATTAAAAATCCAACGAAAAAATAAAGTAGTGCAATAAAGTTCCAAAGTAGTTTTTTTTTTTTGAATTGATAATGTTTAATTAATTATATTTATTTTATTGATATTTTTTAGTATATTTATTTTATTTTATTTTTTTCTTTGTTAATTTTAAGAATTTTTTAATTTTCTCATAAAATATTTAAAGTTGAGGTTTTTCCGTATATATGTCTTGTTAAAGTTTTCTATTTCATATTTTCTAACTTAGAAAAATACATTTTTTGGCATTTATTTTAAAAATATGCATTTTCCTATTATACCCGTTATAATAATAATGATAATAATAAAAATGATGATGATGATGATGATGATGATGATAACAATAATAGTAATAATAATAATAATAACAATAATAATACTAGTAATAATAATAATAATAATAATAGCACTGATAATTGATGAGTTCAAAAATATCATTAATATTTCCTGATTTAAAAGTATTTAAGAATAAGTGTTATTTTTATTGTGTTCATAAATCAATTCATTCAAAATGTATATTTGCAAAATTGGTTGATTTGTTATTTGTGAGGTCTATTCAAGAGGGAAACATTTCAGCTAGCCATTGGAACACCACGTTGCTGGAAAATGTATTAGCCAGAAAAGACTCATGCGGCAAGCAAAACTACAACGTTTACGGCTAGCCATTGGAGATGCTCTTAGTGGTTAATTTGTTAGTGCCTTAGTGGCTTGTTACAAACAAGCTATGTGCGTGTGTGAGTTTTCATATTTAAGGTTGTAATTAGTTTGCTTTATCTATATGAGAACAAAGAGAAGAAAAATGCTTTGAGCCCACCACATTTGAATGTTAAGTATGTATTTCCCTTCCTAAAGCTACGTATGTATTTTTCTTCCTAAGCATTAACTTCAGAGCCATTTTTCTTCGCTGACATTCCCTACATTTGGTATCAAAGCCATGGCAGACAAAAGTTCGCACACTCCGTCATGCTCGCCGGTACGTCGTGGTCGGAGCCTGACGCGGCGGTGGTGCAGTAGCGCGTCAGCCGTCATCCTTTTTTTTTTTTTTTTTTTTTTTTTTTTATCCCGGAAGGCAAACCACCAAAATCAGTGGGGTAAATGCCGGGGGTCATTTACCATGATTTATTAAACAGATAAGGATACAAAAGAGAGGGGGGCTAGGCCAATACCTCTCCGAAGAAGGCATTCCTTCCCAAAGTTTGTGAACGAAAATAAGTGAGAAACTGAATCATTAAAAATTAAAAACGGATACGAGGAATACCAAATAAATCAGCGAAATAACTAGTTCGGACATCTCTGGGCAAGTGATCCACCTGATCAAAAAGAATCATTTGGGCTGGAAATATCTGACGGCCCGCTAGAAGATGGGCTGGGTCGTTCCCCTCACTGTCGTCTACCCCCGACGTTGACGGCGATGAACTATCGAGTGGGCGCTCATCATGAAGTTGAACATGGAGGCCCAAAGCGTGTGGAATGCTGTCGAGGTGGTGGGAGCTTCAACGAGGATACGGTGGCGCTTGTGGCAGTTCTGCGAGCCGTACCACTGAAGATGCACTCCACGCTTGCCATGAAGGCGACGACAAAGGAGACATGGGACGCCATCAAGTCCATGCGTGTGGGCGATGAGCGTGTCCGTGAGGCCAAGGCATAGTCTCTACTCAAGGAGTTTGATGTCGTCCGCATGCGGAGCGGCGAGACGATCGACGAGCTCGCCATGCGCATGTCCGTGAGGCTAAGGCACAGACTCTACTCATTTCAACAAGATCCGCACCCTCTGTCACGCCCCAGACCGCATCTGAGCGCGTGTACAACCGCCGTATGACTAAATGACGTCACCCACAAGTCAACGTGACTTAGTCAAACAAGGCGTCCATGAACATAGTCCATACCATACTCAGTAAGTAAACATACATAACAACATCACATAATAGGATTGAACGAATAGCGGAAATATTCAATATTCAATCGTGGGCCACACTTGGCCAAAACGTAGGCACGCAGGCCCAAAGCAAATGTATTTATTACAAAATATCCATGAGCAAGTTTGTAGTTTAAAACAGTAAAGGAAGCACGAACCACGTCTTCCTTTGGAATACTTCACCAAGCAAAGTATGGATAGCTAGCCTTAGCTTCAACCTGAAATGGTGGGCCCCCCCGAAGGGGTCAGTACAAGTACCGAGCGAGTAACAAGCTAAATGTAGAATAACTAACGTTTCAAGTGTAAGACCCAAACATAGGGTGATACATATACGTATAGTCCTTCCCCCAAGTTTGAAATACATATTAGTATGCATACACTTGGAAATACCCGACCCGTAGGTCATTGTTTATTTGGGAAAATAATAGTAGCCAATATCCTTGACTTAAATCCCAACCCACCCATATACCTATGAGTGTATAGAACTCCTCCTTGTTCAAATAAATTATCATAAGGACACCGCCCGGTCCTAGATCATTAAATGTAATCTTATGAGTTTTGAGGATACACGCCCGATCCTTGGGTACTCCACCCTGTAACCGAGTTTTGAGGATAACCGCCCGATCCTTGGGTACTCCACCCTATATAACCGAGTTTTGAGGATAACCGCCCGATCCTTGGGTACTCCACCCTATATAACCGAGTTTTGAGGATAACCGCCCGATCCTTGGGTACTCCACCCTATAACCGAGTTTTGAGGATACACGCCTGATCCCTGGGTACTCCACCCGACCTATGACTTACCACATATCACACTAGATAGGGTCTATATCATATTATTACTAAAGACTAAACCAAGTCTTAGAATTAAATCAATAAATATCAACCTTGACATTAAATCATCATATTCCATGCAATTCCATGCACAATATACACACATAGGTTGTACGGGGTCAGCCCCTCCTTCGAACCGGACTTCGGTTCGCGTTTTCGGTGAAATTAATACGTGGAGGCAGTAGCTTACCCGGCCCCGGGTATGCCCTATACCCGGCGCCGGGTATGTTCGGAGTTTTGGGTCAACGGTCCGTTGACCCCCGAGTTGACCCCCAAAACGTGATCCGTTTGACCCGAAATTTTTATACAACCTATATCATGTCTAAAACAACCAATAAATGCCATTTTGGTCATCCAAAACATCACAAATGTTTTTATACATTTTTCATATACTTCACATGCATCATCATGTAGTTTTATTCACATAGGCCTAATTACCTAGGCTAATTACATGCTTAAACTCTTTTAAACATCATTATGAATACTTATAACATTTATTTAGGTAATCTCATACTTAACCCAAGAGTTATAAGACATTAAGCCGTCCACTCACCTCGAATGAGCGTTATGAAGTTCTACCCTTCTCGGTTGAACCCCGGTGAAACTCCGGCGAGTTTGGTTGAACTCCGGCGACTATTCCGGCGACTCCTTCAACTTTGTGAAAGCTATTGAATCACCTTATACGAGTTCCTAACAAGGTTTTAACATCATAAAACCTTAATCAATACAAATAACCCTTAAAAGGTTATTTTCCGGTGAACCGGGTCTCTATGGCTTCTAAGTCCGCTCTTGGACTTAAAACCACCCTTCAACCCATCGTTCTACCCTTTGGGCATGTAGAACCATCCTAGGGGTTATTCACATGATATATATCTCATATGGTAGGAGAAAAATAAAGGAAAAGTTATGATAAGGTTATTACCTTAATCACCACACCTTTTCTTCCCTTTTTCCCTTCTTTAAACTCCCTCTTTGGATGCCTTGGACTTGAGCTCGAAATTAGCTATGAAAGAATGGAGTTGCAGAGCTCTTTTACTCCTCTTGGATGCCTTGGGTCGAATGAATGATGGAGGTGAGAGGCAACACCCTCTTTTTGGCTTATTACACAATGATAGCATGGCATGGACCCTCCCAATGTCCTTTTGATGCCATTCTCTTCAAGTCAACATTGCCTACACCCTCCCATCCCATTCATCCGTCCTCTCCCCTATCATAGCCCACACAAATTCGTGGGGTGGCCCCCACTTGTGTGGGAGGTCATCCCAATATGTCTAGAACTGTACAATCGGCCCCGAAAGTTGTATCTTTCGGACTGTTTTAAGCATATTTTATTTTATCGGGTCAAATAAAATATATTACATGTCCATAGAAATTATGGATCTTAATAATGAATGTACATTACCCAACTTTAATTTTAAAGTCTCCGAAATTCATTTCGGACTGTTATCTGAAGAAATTGTCGGTACTGGTAATTGGGCCCTGTTTGACAAACCGGTCAACCCAATGCCTTTCTTATGGCCCATTTTCCACCACCATGTAAATATTATCTAGACCAAGATGAATATAACATGTGGTCTCGTGTTATCGGGTTACCCCCGCTCCGGGTGTGGGCCCCGCGTGGAATTTACTATCCACGCAAAAGAAATAACAAAAATTTACAACCTCGTAAATTCATTACTAAATACGTCATGTTCGATACATAATTTACATAAAGTTAATTATATTTGGGGACGGTGTTACAAGTTCACCCCCCCTTATTTGGGATTTCGTCCCCGAAATCAACGTGTCTAATCGAAAAGAAACGGGTATTGCTCCCTCATTGAGACCTCGGTCTCCCAGGTTTCTTCTTCGACTCGATCACTCCTCCAAAGTACCTTTACCATAGGAATCTCCTTGTTCCTAAGCTTCTTTACCTGTTGGCCCACTATCTTTACCGGTTCCACTGCGTATTGCAAGTCCTCTCGAATCTCCACCGGTGGCCTCTCAAGAATATGCGATGGGTCCCGTACATACTTCTTGAGCATTGATACATGAAATACATCATGAATCTTCCCAAGTTCGGGTGTCAGTTTGAGGCGATAAGCTACGGCCCCAATCCTCTCCAGGATTTCAAACGGACCAATGTATCGGGGGTTAAGCTTACCCCTTGATACGAACCGGATGATACCTTTCCAAGGAGAAATCCTTAGAAAAACTTCATCCCCGACCTCAAACTCCAACGGCCTCCGCCGTTTGTCTGCATAGCTCTTCTGCCGATCTTGGGCAGCCTTAAGTCTGTCATGAATTATTTTCACCTTAGCCTTGGTGATCTCAACAAGTTCTATTCCCTCGAGCTTGGCCTCACCAACCTCGTCCCAACACAATGGTGTCCTACATTTCCTCCCGTACAGTGCCTCGTACGGAGGCATGCCGATACTTGCCTGATAACTGTTGTTATAGGCAAACTCCACCAAAGCCAGGTGTTTGTCCCAACTCCCTTGGAACTCCAAGGCACATGCCCTAAGCATGTCTTCCAAAATCTGTATCACCCGCTCAGATTGTCCATCTGTCTGTGGGTGAAAGGCTGTGCTAAACTTCAGTTTAGTACCCAATGATGCTTGAAACTTTGGCAAAAAACCTGGACGTGAATCGTGGATCCCTATCAGAGACAATGGATATCGGGACTCCATGCAATCTCACGACCTCCTCCACATATAACTTGGCCAACCTTTCAAGAGGATAAGTAATGTTGATAGGTAAGAAGTGTGCGCTCTTGGTGAGCCTATCAACCACTACCCAAACTGCGTCATAGTTGTTCACTGTCCGTGGTAGCCCTACCACGAAGTCCATGGTCACATGTTCCCACTTCCATTCTGGAATGGTAAGTGGCTGTAAAAGTCCTGCCGGGTGTTGATGCTCCGCCTTAACCTGCTGGCAAGTAAGGCATCGACTCACATATTCTGCGATGTCTCTCTTCATCCCTGACCACCAATAACTTTCTTTTAAGTCTCGGTACATCTTAGTACCCCCTGGATGCATGGCATAGGCCGAAGAATGAGCCTCCTCAAGTATGGACTTTTGGAGCCCTTCATCCTTTGGTATGCAAACACGATCCTTAAATAACAACAGACCATCATCACGTATACGAAAGTTCTCAACAGGCCCCTCAAGGATCCGTTCACGGATCTTCTGACATTCCTCATCAATGGCCTGACATCTACTGATCTCACCCAGCAGTGTAGGCCTAACCTCGAATCTAGCAATGAGGGTCCCACACGTGGACACCTTTACACGTGCCCTCAATGCCCGAAGACATGTGAGTAACGTCCCCGACGTACTCTTCCTGCTCAGTGCATCGGCCACTACATTGGCCTTTCCGGGATGGTAATCGATGATCAAATCGTAGTCCTTGATCAACTCCATCCATCTCCTCTGTCTCATATTCAACTCTTTCTGAGTGGATATATACTTCAAGCTCTTATGATCGGTATAAATGTGACATGTCTCCCCGTAGAGATAATGCCTCCAAATTTTCAGTGCAAACACCACCGCCCCCAACTCTAGATCGTGAGTAGGGTAGTTCACTTCATGTTTCCTCAATTGTCTTGAAGCGTAGGCAATCACCTTACCCCTTTGCATCAACACACATCCAAGTCCTTGGATGCTAGCATCGCTATAGATATCGTACCCTATCCCCTGTTTGGGTAGAGCAAGAACTGGTGCCTCCGTGAGTCGTTTCTTCAGTTCAAGAAACCCTTTCTCACATTTGTCATCCCATATGAACTTAGCCCCCTTCTTTGTGAGCTTCGTCAATGGAGATGCCAACACGGAGAATTTCTCGACGAACTTACGATAGTATCCCGCTAGGCCAAGGAAACTACGTATTTCTTTCACATTTTTGGGTCTCTCCCAATCGATGATGGCGTTTATCTTGGCGTTATCCACAGCAACGCCCGAACCGGATATAACATGCCCGAGGAAGCCAATCTCTTTGAGCCAAAATTCACATTTGGAGAACTTGGCAAAGAGTTGTTTTTCTCTAAGTCGTTCAAGTACAAGCCTCAAGTGATGTTCGTGCTCCTCCCCGTTCTTGGAGTATATCAAGATGTCATCAATGAATACTATCACGAATTGATCTAAGTATTCACTAAACACTCGGTTCATCAAGTCCATGAAGGCTGCCGGTGCATTGGTTAACCCAAATGACATCACAAGAAACTCATAGTGACCATATCTAGTGCGGAATGCACTCTTGGGTATGTCACTCTCCTTGATCTTCAACTGATGATACCCCAACCTCAAATCAATCTTTGAGAACACCATCGCCCCCCGAAGTTGATCGAACAAGTCATCAATCCTCGGTAAAGGGTACCTATTCTTGATTGTGACCTTGTTCAACTGTCGGTAGTCTATGCACATTCTCAATGTACCATCCTTCTTCTTCACGAAGAGTACTGGTGCTCCCCACGGTGAATGACTAGGTCTAATGAAGCCGTTGTCCAATAGCTCTTGCAATTGGACCTTCAACTCTTGAAGCTCTGCCGGTGCCATTCGATAAGGAGGAATCGAAATGGGTTTTGTTCCCGGCTCTACTTCGATCACAAACTCGATCTCTCTATCGGGTGGAAGTCCCGGCAAGTCTTTTGGAAAGACATCCGGGTACTTGCACACGACGCGTACATCGTTGATGTCAGCCTCCTTCTTTGTCTCGTCAACTACGTAAGCCAGGTATGCGTGGCATCCCTCCTTCATCATCTTCCGTGCACTCATCACGGATATGATACAGCTATGAGATCCTCCCCGATCTCCCTCGAAACATAGAGCGTTTCCATCAGCGTCTTCGAGCTCTAACACCTTGGCATAACAATCTACCCGAGCATGATACTTCTCGAGCCAATCCATCCCTAGGATTGCATCGAACTCCAACATACTTAGAGGTACGAAGTCACAAGTCAAGGGTTGACCCGTTACTTCTACTTCACACGATGGATAGTAGTGTTTCCTCTCCACATCGTCTCCCAACGGTGTAGAGACTAACAAGGGTTGGGTCATTGCTATCAACGGTACGCCTAACCCTTCGGCAAACGCTTCACTCACGAATGAACGTTGTGCCCCGGTATCAATGAGAATTCTTGCGTTTCTACCATTGATCTTTAAGGTTCCTACATATATAAGTCATGTAAGACACACTACACACGTACCAGGCCGAAAATAGGGCTAAACGAAAATTTTCGGACGAAAATACACTGGACCGGCGCCGGGTATAGGCCTGGCCGGCGCCGGGTAAGCTACTGGAATCAAAAAGTGGCAAAAATGAACTGGGCCGGCGCCGGGTATGGACTAGACCGGCGCCGGGTATCCCCTGGAGCGAAACATCGGAAATATTCTCCCCGGACCGGCGCCGGGTTCCCCCCTGGCTGGCGCCGGGTAAGCTACTGGATAGCACCCTCCGGGAAATTTTTCGGGCCGGCGCCGGGTTGCCCCCTTGGCCGGCGCCGGGTAAGCTACTGCCAGCCCGCGGTTCATCATTTTACAGCAGACCGGCGCCGGGTCAAGCCCAGACCAGCGCCGGTTCATCCCTGGGCAGTCCAACTTCGTTTTTCGCCCGAAAACGAGCCGGAAATGCCGTCGGTTAACTCGTAATTTCTCCCTAAAGCTTAAAACACACGTGTATATGAACATTACAAGTATGAACAAGGAATTACCTGCAACGGAGTCGGGGTTAGCCCGGGCATCGGCCTCGGTCATCGCGTAGACCCTTGCTTGGGCCCCGCCTTGATTAACGGACGCGACATTGCTTGTTGACGCGCCGCCTCTTCCCGTGCCACCGTGTGACGGTCCCGCACGGTTTCTTCCCGTCATGGTCCCTCCCCCGGCTCCCGATGCACTCTCTTGCATCAATTGAGGGCAATTGGCCTTCATATGGCCCGCATTCCCGCATTTAAAACATCTCGGTGGTTCATTGCACTTCCCAAAGTGCTGTTTTGAGCAATTGGGACATCTCGGTGCCCCCGGGTTTTGTGGCCTATGTCCGTGCCACCTCGCGTCTCTATTCTTCTTTGCCGGTGGAGCCGGTGCCTTGAATGAACCACCACCACCACCACCGTGGTTGTTCCTTCGGGAATGATCGGGCGGCCCCGAACTATTCCACTTTCTCTTCTTTGCCTCTTCGGCATCCCTTGCTTTCCTCTCATACCACTGGGCCTCTCCCAGCATGCCCTGTTCTACCACCTCACTGAAAGTCATGAGGCGTGAGTATGTAGCACGGTCTCGAATGTCTAAAAGCAAGGCATCCCAAAAGTGCTCAGTCATGCGGTCCTCATCGATCGCATACTCCGGTAAGAACCTAGCCAAGGTTCTAAACTCCTGCTCCAGCTGCTTAACAGTACAACCCTCTTTCTGCTTGAGGTTGGTATACTCCCTCCTTTTCACATTAACCTCGAAATCGGAGTAGTATTGGGCGTAAAACTCCCTTTCAAAATTTTCCCATGAGATGTCCCCACGGTATTTCCCTTCCACACCTTCCCACCATGTGGAAGCCATCCCCTCAAGCAACCGTGAAGCGACAGTTAACTTCACGTCCGGAGTAATTTGCATGTCTCTCGATGCATCCTTCACCTTCTTGATCCAATCGGCGGCAATGGTAATGTCGCCGGTGCCGTCAAAGGACCTACACCCCAAGGCCCTAGCCTCCTTGAGGTATTTGGAGATTCTCACTATAGAACCTCCCTCACGCCCACCTTGTGGCGCCACAGGCGTGGCCCTTGAAGCTCCACGGCTTCCTTGAGCCGAAACACCTTGAGAAGCACGCCTCGCTTGGCGTCTCATGTCTCTCCTTTGTTTCTCCTTTTGATACCACTCTAGAAGTTCCCCCATTTGGGCAAACCGGGCATCGCTTTCATCATCATTATCATCATCGGTGTGAAAATCACCCCCATCGTATGGGGTCTCCTTGTGTTCCGTTTCGGGAACATAAGTAGAGTCGTAGTTCTCGGTGTTAGTCTCGTACACCGAACTCACGTGGCCATCACTCACTGTTTGGGCTCAGTGGCCCCCACGACCTCCACGGCCTCCACGGCCTCCTCTTCCACCTCTAGAGCTTCGAGATGCAGCCCGGCTAGCTTCAACAGAAGCTATCGGTGCTTGCCCTCCCGGATTGTTTCTGGTGTGCATGCGCCTACCCTCCATTTCTGAAAAGGAATTTGGACCAGTCATTAGACTCCAATCAATGTCAATTGACGGAAAACGTTATAGACACGTATTGGCCCAAGTCACCGCCATACCAATTGTTAAGGGTACCATCTTAACAATTAGAGACCTTGCAACTTAGGTAACAATAGTTCTATAAGCGTCAAAATACAATGCTCATGGTTTTCGGTAAAACTCTTTTGTAAAATCTCTTGTGAGGGGTTGATTACATAGTTTAGAAACTGAGATGGCTCTGATACCACTTAATTGTCACGCCCCAGACCGCATCTGAGCGCGTGTACAACCGCCGTATGACTAAATGACGTCACCCACAAGTCAACGTGACTTAGTCAAACAAGGCGTCCATGAACATAGTCCATACCATACTCAGTAAGTAAACATACATAACAACATCACATAATAGGATTGAACGAATAGCGGAAATATTCAATATTCAATCGTGGGCCACACTTGGCCAAAACGTAGGCACGCAGGCCCAAAGCAAATGTATTTATTACAAAATATCCATGAGCAAGTTTGTAGTTTAAAACAGTAAAGGAAGCACGAACCACGTCTTCCTTTGGAATACTTCACCAAGCAAAGTATGGATAGCTAGCCTTAGCTTCAACCTGAAATGGTGGGGGGCCCCGAAGGGGTCAGTACAAGTACCGAGCGAGTAGCAAGCTAAATGTAGAATAACTAACGTTTCAAGTGTAAGACCCAAACATAGGGTGATACATATACGTATAGTCCTTCCCCCAAGTTTGAAATACATATTAGTATGCATACACTTGGAAATACCCGACCCGTAGGTCATTGTTTATTTGGGAAAATAATAGTAGCCAATATCCTTGACTTAAATCCCAACCCACCCATATACCTATGAGTGTATAGAACTCCTCCTTGTTCAAATAAATTATCATAAGGACACCGCCCGGTCCTAGATCATTAAATGTAATCTTATGAGTTTTGAGGATACACGCCCGATCCTTGGGTACTCCACCCTGTAACCGAGTTTTGAGGATAACCGCCCGATCCTTGGGTACTCCACCCTATATAACCGAGTTTTGAGGATAACCGCCCGATCCTTGGGTACTCCACCCTATATAACCGAGTTTTGAGGATAACCGCCCGATCCTTGGGTACTCCACCCTATAACCGAGTTTTGAGGATACACGCCTGATCCCTGGGTACTCCACCCGACCTATGACTTACCACATATCACACTAGATAGGGTCTATATCATATTATTACTAAAGACTAAACCAAGTCTTAGAATTAAATCAATAAATATCAACCTTGACATTAAATCATCATATTCCATGCAATTCCATGCACAATATACACACATAGGTTGTACGGGGTCAGCCCCTCCTTCGAACCGGACTTCGGTTCGCGTTTTCGGTGAAATTAATACGTGGAGGCAGTAGCTTACCCGGCCCCGGGTATGCCCTATACCCGGCGCCGGGTATGTTCGGAGTTTTGGGTCAACGGTCCGTTGACCCCCGAGTTGACCCCCGAAACGTGATCCGTTTGACCCGAAATTTTTATACAACCTATATCATGTCTAAAACAACCAATAAATGCCATTTTGGTCATCCAAAACATCACAAATGTTTTTATACATTTTTCATATACTTCACATGCATCATCATGTAGTTTTATTCACATAGGCCTAATTACCTAGGCTAATTACATGCTTAAACTCTTTTAAACATCATTATGAATACTTATAACATTTATTTAGGTAATCTCATACTTAACCCAAGAGTTATAAGACATTAAGCCGTCCACTCACCTCGAATGAGCGTTATGAAGTTCTACCCTTCTCGGTTGAACCCCGGTGAAACTCCGGCGAGTTTGGTTGAACTCCGGCGACTATTCCGGCGACTCCTTCAACTTTGTGAAAGCTATTGAATCACCTTATACGAGTTCCTAACAAGGTTTTAACATCATAAAACCTTAATCAATACAAATAACCCTTAAAAGGTTATTTTCCGGTGAACCGGGTCTCTATGGCTTCTAAGTCCGCTCTTGGACTTAAAACCACCCTTCAACCCATCGTTCTACCCTTTGGGCATGTAGAACCATCCTAGGGGTTATTCACATGATATATATCTCATATGGTAGGAGAAAAATAAAGGAAAAGTTATGATAAGGTTATTACCTTAATCACCACACCTTTTCTTCCCTTTTTCCCTTCTTTAAACTCCCTCTTTGGATGCCTTGGACTTGAGCTCGAAATTAGCTATGAAAGAATGGAGTTGCAGAGCTCTTTTACTCCTCTTGGATGCCTTGGGTCGAATGAATGATGGAGGTGAGAGGCAACACCCTCTTTTTGGCTTATTACACAATGATAGCATGGCATGGACCCTCCCAATGTCCTTTTGATGCCATTCTCTTCAAGTCAACATTGCCTACACCCTCCCATCCCATTCATCCGCCCTCTCCCCTATCATAGCCCACACAAATTCGTGGGGTGGCCCCCACTTGTGTGGGAGGTCATCCCAATATGTCTAGAACTGTACAATCGGCCCCGAAAGTTGTATCTTTCGGACTGTTTTAAGCATATTTTATTTTATCGGGTCAAATAAAATATATTACATGTCCATAGAAATTATGGATCTTAATAATGAATGTACATTACCCAACTTTAATTTTAAAGTCTCCGAAATTCATTTCGGACTGTTATCTGAAGAAATTGTCGATACTGGTAATTGGGCCCTGTTTGACAAACCGGTCAACCCAATGCCTTTCTTATGGCCCATTATGAATTTCCACCACCATGTAAATATTATCTAGACCAAGATGAATATAACATGTGGTCTCGTGTTATCGGGTTACCCCCGCTCCGGGTGTGGGCCCCGCGTGGAATTTACTATCCACGCAAAAGAAATAACAACAATTTACAACCTCGTAAATTCATTACTAAATACGTCATGTTCGATACATAATTTACATAAAGTTAATTATATTTGGGGACGGTGTTACACCCTCGGCGAGACCCTCGAGGAGGTGAAGGTCGTGAAAAAATTACTCCGCATCATGCCATCCAAGTACACCCAGGTAGTTATTGCAATTGAACAGCTTCTTGATCTTAAAACCATGTCCATGGAGGAGCTTGAGGAAGGCTCAAAATGATGGAGGATAGGAGGGATGTGGAAGACGGTGTCGACAACAACGACCATGGTGGTGGAGGTCGTTTGCTCCTCACAGAGGAGGAGTGGCTTTCTTGCTACCGCGGCGGCACCGACAAGAAGAAGAGTGTGTTCGGCATCCGTAAGGTTCGAGGCCCCTAGCCCCCTATTAATTTGTACAAATTCAACTATAAAAATGATTTAGAGTCAGATAGACCACACTCTTTTCTCTTTCTTTTAAAATATTTATTTTATTTATATGATCTAATCCCTAAACATTTTGTTCAACTCAGGCACGACTTACACGAAAATACAAAATTCACAACATTCGGGTCTAATAAAAGCATTATAATCAACTATTCAAGTCGGAGGTTGCAAGCGGCAAGACGACAAGCTAACTAGCATAAATCTCCCGCAATGCCGCACCTTCTTAGTTTCTCCTTCTCTGGTCCGATATTCCAATCAGTATTCAATTCACCTTTTTCAGGTTGGTAAACTTGGACTTCCTACTGACTCCTTTTTATAGTATATTACCTCGCAATTAGTGAGTACACTTTAATAATTGAATTAAATTAGTTAACTGTGTGATTTTAGTTGATTCTATGTTTTTATTGCCATCATCAATTTATCATATTTGATTTTATGATTAGGTAATCAGTCATTACTTCAATACTTCTAATAACCGCCATCTCTTGAATTCTTTCTATTTTTCTAAATCAGTTCTTTGATATTTTCCAATCTTGTTAATTAGAGTCTTATTTGCAAAAACCTTTCATACGTACTATCATTTAGTATATCGACTCTTGAAATTATCACTGACTCTGCCCATTGCAACTGCTGCAGTTGAAAGTTATTTTTCTGTGATGAAAATTTCTCTTTGTCAACTCAAGTTTGTGGAATAGGATCAACAATCAGTGTTTAAATGATTATCTGATCTTATTTGTTATGTGAAAAAAGATGTGTGCTTGATACATTTACAAATGAAGTTATAATACCGTTTTCAAAAAATGAAAACTCGTACAGAGGAGATGTAATAAAATGTACTCCGTAATATTTTTTATTACCACTGGATTATTTGAGTTTTAAAAAATTACCATAAAATGAGTAAAAATGTATGTAAGTTTCAAAATAGGAGTACTATGCAAATTCATTTCTTAAGTAGGAGTAATTATTGCCATGAAAAATAGTCTCATATGGCAGTATATGAGTGGCAGTATTTTTCAAGTTTGGCAGTAATTACTACGTAGTATTATTTAGATAGAGGAAGCGGGATCTGGTCGGCGACTCATTCTCCCATACGACAGGTCTCGGATTTGAAATCCATGGAGGGAGTTTTAGCCCTTTTTACCCAAGGCCCCCAGGCCCCAGCCCTCTCCCCCGACCCCCGTAGCGTAAAAAACTTATATTTAGAGAAACAATAGGACTCGAATTTTAGAATTTCAAAACCTTTTACACTTGTTTTGAGAATTTTCCTTTATTCTAAAAGTTAATTTATACTAATGATCGAAATGTTTTTCACTTTTTCTTAGGTGCCCAATAGTTAAATTTTTTGGATCCGCCCCTCAAGGATTTGTATGGTTTCTTAGTATCTTCTTGCACATCTATTGACTTGAATAATGATGCCATTTTTCTTTTGTGCATAATATTTCGTGAATCTCACACTTAAAGAAAGCCAAGAGTATTTAAAGTTTGTGAGTTTAATTTTATTTAATTAAATGTTGTGCAACTTTTATATTACACCAGGGGTATATTATTAAAAGAAAAAGGTAAAAACACATATGTACATCACAAATACAAGTCAGACATAATTTCATTGTTAATTAGCACACTTCAATTCTAAGAGTAGAAAGTAGATGCCAATTTGTTTTCCTCAACCAACTCATTTGCACTTTCACGCATCTTTATCCTTGAAAATTCATTAATCTTGAGACCTGCATATTTGAAGTGATACGTACGTACACAGAGCAGATCCGTCAATTCTATTGAGGGATCAAAATTTTGGGAAAAAATCCAACCAGCATTCCAGCAATATGTTAGATTGTTGTCGCGATGATATCCAGACATTTGGTTCCTTCTTTTATAAGAATAAAAATAATATTTGGAGTACTAAATTATGTAATTTATTTAATTAGTATTTCTAAATAAATGGTCCTTTATAAGGTTGTGCTTAGGTAATGAGTGGATGACTTCTATATTGATCCAAACGCCACCCTGTGTACCATGTTTGAGGCAACACAAAACTGGGGTGATCGACTTGAACCAATATTCAAAACTATATAGTTAAAAGGTATATTTTCAAAAAGATTATCCGGAGTATTTGCAAATTAAAAGTGATGCTTTTCGAGTACTATATTTTGGTGACATCCCCCCTTAAGCGTTGTTCGGTTCTACTTTTGATAAGTAATTAATTAAAGCGAGTTTATAAAATGCATTTAAAAGTAAATGTCGGTAGTGTTGGATAGGAAATCGACTTTGAAATAGTAAAAGCTTGAGTCCTTGATAAAAAAGCACTTTTTATGTAATAAAAATTTGAAAATCACTTTAAAATATATCTATATTTGGTTCTAACTTTTAACTTTGAAACGCTTAATTTAAGGGAAAAGATGTATGAGAAGGCTATTTTACTTCTTAATAGACGTAATTGCTCCAAAATAATTATAGATATGTCTTAACTAATTAATCCAAAATATATTGATATGTAAAGTTCAAAGCTAGTAAGGAGAATAGACCTTTCACAATGGACCATTCTCCATTCTTGCAAGTAACCGGAAAAGAATATATTAAATCCGACGGCACGCCATAAGAACCATCTGAGTATACTCCCATTGAAACCCATGTATCCTGAACAAATAATCCACATCCATTAACTTAGCATAAAAACCAGAGAAGTCACAATAAAGATCAAGACGCGTTTGGCAAATGGAACCAAACTGGATTGGATGAAAACAGATTTTGAATAAACTGAACAAGTTTAATAACCTATGTTGCATTAAATGGCGTGACTAAGATCCTAAAATTTAGATCTAAAGGACCAGAAACACACAATTATATAAATGCTAACACATAAAATAATGCTAGGCATAAAAGAAGTTTCATCAGTCATATTGAAACTAGGACTTCATATGGTGAATGGTATACAACCCTACTAATAATTGAGAGTACCATATCTATAATGTATTTAATCATTCCATTTTCACCATTTGGTTATGTTTGAACTATCAAATTGTAATATTCTAGTTGGTTTACATATAAAGGATAGGATACTTTGAGGCTACCATAGAATTTGCCATATAATATAGGAGAATAATATTCTATATGGAGATCTCTTGTATCAATTAAGTTTTGACATAAAAAATGCATCAATGAGAATATTCAACCTTTGGGGTGCCGAGAACCCAATCGTGTATATGGTCGCATGCTGCGCTTGCAGCAGATAATGCGCTAGACGCCTTTCGAGCTTTTATAATCGCTTCTCCACGACGTCGTACTGCGTCTATGAACTCTGTGTTTAGCCTATAAGATAATCTTCTAAACCATTAGCGCACATTATTTTAATATGTAAATTATTACCTTTCCAATGTGACTATATATGTAGCCAGAGTAATTAATTAATTTATTACCATTCATCATTTGTTACAAGTTCTTTGACGGGCTTCTCTCCTCTGGCCGTTTTTACCATGGTGTGATTGGCATCAGGGTACTGAGTTGAAGAATGGTTTCCCCATATGATTACATTCTTTACATCATTTGTGTCAACATTTACTTTCTCTGCAATTTTGGCCAAGGCTCTATTGTGGTCAAGCCTGGTTAGACAGGTGATGTTTTTTGCAGCAATGCTAGGTGCAAATTTTTTCAAAATGAGAGCATTGGTGTTTGCAGGGTTAGCAATTACCAAGACCTGTTCAAAAAAGACTCACACTACAAGTTACTCTAACTGTCCAATATAAAAATGTGAAAAAATTTGTGTCACACACGACATTGATATAGAGTAATAAAACATTATATAAAATACTTTATTAAATCTTAAGATGGAATTTATGTTAATAAAACTTCTACGTATAAAGGATTTATTAAGCATCACTTAAGAGCTCATTTGGTGATCACGTTTTTTGACTTATCAAGGCTATCAGTCGAACTTTTTCACCAAACACGTAACTTTTTATTTTGAACGTTGAATTGTGTAATAATAAGAAAAGGTAAGATTGAAGTTACTTTTCTAGCTGTATTGGCTGATGTTACTGCAGAGGAACATTTTGGCTATTTTTCATACATTTTTTTTCTTTATTTTATTAATAAAACATATTTTAAATACAATATTTACATAAATCAGCATAATCAACCAATTCAGTCAGAATTTCATAAATTTCAACAGAATCAGCCGACTCAACCGAGTTTGGTATACCTAACAGGCTCTAAATATGAAACTAGCAAAGAACATATTGGATCTCGGTCTATTTTCCCTATTAGACTAGTGTAGTATCCCAATACTTTTTGGGTAGTCTCAACAATAAAAAGTTTGTGATGCATCAATCAAATTGACCCACCTTACAATTAGAAGCGGCATGTTTCTCCAAGGCTAAACCATGAGACTTGAAAATGGGCACATTTTTTGACATAACGGCATTCCTTTCCATCCCTTCTTTTCGTGGGAACCCGCCAGCCATTATCGCAATATTAACCCCTTTGCATGCCTCATTTGCATCTGTTGTTGCCACTACACCTGTATAGGCACAAGAATTGGATGAGATGATGATAAGATTGGGAGGTAATATAAATTTGAGAGCTTCTTAAGTTGTAGTGATTAGAATAGATGTGATAATGAGTAACCTTTGAGGAGAGGAAAAGCTGAATCAATCAATTCCATTTTGAGTGCTTCTAAGGCTTCAATATAAACATCAAGCAAATGTATAATGACTGGTTGATCAGGTCCTAACATGGCTCCCCTAGCAATCATAGGAACAAGAGCATACCCAATTTGCCCTGCCACCACCCCATGTTCAATATCAGTCAATTTTAATGATTCGAAGTCAATATAATGTTGTAAACTAAATTAAAAGCAGTAAAAAGCCTTAGGTGGCGTGCACCCAAGACAAGCGTAATGTGTTAGGGGTTGATTAACCATAGTTAGTCAAGGGTAGGTTCTAAAAGCGTAAAAACTTTGTTCTAAGGCGCTGGACTCTGGCCAGGCGCCCATATTTCTATGTAATCGGTTGAAAAAATCAAATAGGTGCCTAAGCAGGGTAGACGGTGCCCATGCCAAATTGAATAGATGTGTTCATGTTCCATCTAATTTTCTCCACTTTGTCCTAAAAACATCATTTGATCAACAATCATTCTATTCCTATTAAATTTATTTTAATACTCCTACGATAAAAATAATATTTGAATGTATATAAGCTTTTCTAGAGACTAACTAAAAACACAAATATCTTATTTTTATTTTTATTTTTATTTTTCTATTGGTTATTTTATTATATACAGGGTATAATTTTACTATAAAAACATAGCATTTAATAGTTATTTGAGCTATTTCTATTGTCATATAATAATATATCATAAAGTAATTAATAAAGAATATTAAATAAAACTCATATGAAACACAAATAAAATAAAAGAATAAAGAATATCTATGCATGCGTTCTAGGCGCGTGGGCTAGCGCTAGACCGTGAATATCATTGTACTAGCGTCTAACACCTCTTAGATCATTACTAAAAATAAATTTGGTGAACCCCCTAAGCAAGTAATAAATTAATAACTTTCAAAAGTTATACTTTCTCAATTTTTTATTAGTAACCCTATAACAATTTCTTCAGAAATTACTAAGAAAATAGTGGGGTTGCCCCCCCCCCCCCGTTTTGAACCCGTTAGGCAAACCACGTACCCATCGGTGGGGTAAATGACGAGGAACATTTATTAGATCTTATTGAAAGAAGAATAAGAAGATAAATACAAATGGTGAGGGGGACGAGACCAACGGTCTGTTTGCAACAACTTCTGCTTTTAAAAAAGTGTTTTTTTTAATGAAATGAGGAGAAGTGATTAAATAAAAGTTGATAGTGTTTGACAAAAAAGTGATTTTGAAAAGTAAAAGTGGGTAGTGTTTGGTAAAACAAGTGCTTTTTGTGTAATAGAAAAAATAAAAGCACTTTTGACGCGGAAGCCGAGAAAAATAAAAGTTGTAGTGTTTGAGAAAATGAGTGACTTTTTAAAGCCAAAAGCTAAGAAGTGTTTTTTAAAAGGAGTTGCAAACAAACCCTAAATCCCAGTGGGGCTGAACTCCATTTGCCTTTATTCTTAACGGAAAGTGTAGCTCAAATTAAATTAGATGATTTAGAATGTCTTTGCTTGTGCCAAAATTTTCCGTTCTAATCTAGTCTAGTTTGTTTTAATTTTGTCTAACTCGTCTGGCCAGGTAACTAGATGTTTGGTCTCTATGTATTTTACAACTGTTAGGGACTTAGGGTATGGTCTAGGCTAGTTTGTTTAAGTCTAATTTGATCTATTTAAGTCTGGTTTGGTTTTGTCGGTGACTCAAACCAGTCTAGGTAAAAACATGCTTAAAAATAAAGAATTATCCTAAACAGAAGTAAAGAATATTGTGAATTTCAAAATATGATTTTAAACTATGAATAGAAGTAAAACTATGAATTTCCAAATTTTATTCACTAATTGAATAGAATTAACTACTACAATGTTTTGACATTACCTGGCTGTAAACACGGTTGTATTTTGCAAGCATGACATAAATTACTCTTATTTAGAAAATACGGAGTATAAAAATATCAATCCTGTTTTGAAATTCCATAACGTTTTTATTACTCCTATTTCTGAGATTTTCCTTGAAACTAGTATGATGATTTAAATTGGTTGAAAAATAACGAGTCAAATGAAATGAAAGAGGGATGAAGGTCATGCCTGCAGCACCGGTAACAAGCACAGTCACAGGCTCCTTCTCTAATGCTTTCATGACTCCCCAAATGTCTCTTACGATCTTCCATGAGAAATAAGCACACCCCATCAGAACAACAGACTGTTGAATTGTCCCAAATTGTTCCATGCCACCCAAATATTATATTAACCAAGTAATTAATACTTTACGATCGAGGTACAACAAATATAATCTCTGATATATATGATTATATGATCTCCACCAACAGGCTAGACCACCTTGTTGTATATATATGTGTATATTACATGATAATAATGAAAATATATAAGCACCATTATTTTGAAGCCAAGAGAAGCATAAAGAAAAGCCCATGCAAATAGGAAACCGAAAACCAAACTCGTACGCTAATCTATATGACTATATGTGGGAGTATAGCATATCTTCTTCACAAATAAAAGAACCTAATTACAGCATTCGTCTTTATATTTGAAATTCCTGTTTTGACTTTTTTGTTCAATTTTGACAATTCGTTATGATTGTTTATAATACTTTATGTATTCTTTTCTGAGTTGCATGCGCAATATTTGAACTTTATTAAGCATTTGTCAAACTCGATTTTAACTAATCATGGCTTTAAAGAGCTGTAACGTAGTATAATATAATGTTTCTTCTCACATAGTCCCAAATCTTACAAGAGTTGTAATTAACCCGCTGCCTCCACTCAGGGGCGGAGCTAGTGAAGGGCAAGGTTTTAAATAGCCGTAGCGGCAGCGATAGCGGTAGCGGTCATCGCGGTAGCGGCCTGTAGCGGCCTGTAGCGGCCTGTAGCCGACTGTAGCGGTTGTAGCGGCGTGAAATATTTTCAATTGCGGGCTGTAACGGGCTGTAGCGGGGGGCGTAGCGGATTTTTCCCGTGATTTGGAAATCACACACGAAAAGCGGGCCGTAGCGGTAGCGGCCCCTACCGCGACCGCTATATAGCGGCCGCTATAGCGGTAGCGGACCGCTATTTCAAACCATGGTGAAGGGTCAAGTTCATCTAAGCTCTGACTCACTCCAAATTTAAAAACTTCTTTATTTTTAATGTAAAAATTTCGAGTAATTTATTTTTAAAAATATTTTTTGTACCGCTTCAGTTCGATTTAGTGCCCTAGCTTCGCCTGTGCACATGGCCACATGTTGAGCTCCTAAGTGCAGCATCCACGTTAACTTTGACACGGCAGACCAATAAACGACGCCATCCTCGGATCCTCCCATGAAGATAAGAAAATGAATCATCTAATTACTGAAAGATCATATATGTTCATAAAGTTTTTTACATGCATCATTTGTCATTTCATTGGTGGACTCATATTTTTAAAACGTGACATAAAAAATGTTTTCTCAACAACAACAATTCATCTAATTGAAACGGCTATTGGACCTTGAAATTTACTTAAAGTCATTCCACAAATAGTAATTTTAAGAAACTTTTGAAATTGAACAAGAATCTTGCATCTCATTATGTGATAGAGCCTTGGAATCAACGCTTATCCTCATTTCACACGATGTTTTTATAATTTGATGGTCTGGTCTAGTTTGATCTGATCTGATCTGGTCTAGTCTGAACTGGTCTGGTCTGGTCTGGTCTGGTTTGGTCTGGTTTCTTTGTGTTTTTATAACTATCCAAGTCTGGTCTGACCCCGTCAGCTGATCTGGTATGGTCTGGTATGGTCTGGTCTAGGAAAAATTACAGTCAGAGTAAAAACATCCTTAGCTTAGACACTTCCACCAAAAGATAAAAAACTCTAATGCATCTCCAAATATTACCAAATAATCCCTTTTTTAACAACGGATGATCGGATTTGGTGGACTAGTTCTAAACTCCTAAAAACTCGCCCAACCTTTGAAAGAAGTGAATTCCAGTTGTGCGAACAATCCACTATATTCCAACACTTATTTTTACATACCATGCACTTTGCTCAAGTGTTGGGACCAAATTGTATCAGATATTGGCTTGGGCCAGTCCGCCCAAGCATAAGGCGAAGCCCACCGGGACTGCTAAATAATATACCTACCGGTCAAGAGTCCGTTAGCCCATTATATCAGTTCGAAATGGAGATAAGGGCGTGGAATACTTCAAGGGATAAGATCTACAGCACGTGGAGAGGAAATAGGCTAGCAGTTCCTATTCTTGGGGAAGAAGTTGATTTAATTTAATAAATAGATTAGTTCACTTCCCAAGAGAGGGCATTACTTCGAATTACAATCGCAATTACGTTGGCAAGATCTGCGTATTACTCCATAAACTGTACTCAAGCTCTCGGCTAAACAAAAAGCCTAATAATACATATTTCTTCTTCTTCACTTTGATTAGCCATTATTCGATTCTTAATTGCTTGATTCCCAAAATAATTTTATTCTAGAGTAGATCATTTCTTGTTCAAACAACAAGAGATTGTTTTCGAGCATAGCTCCTGGAAGAGCCGCTATCGAATTAACTTCTCGACAAAAAGCTAACTCTCACATTATCGGTTGAGACGAGACAAAGTACCGTTGTCATTCAATTGAATTGGATGTGTTTCACTTGAATGGGACCACTCCCACTCGGCCACTTGCCACCAAATCCCATGCTATGCTTATTTGGATTAGTCCATCTAATATACACACACACGGACAGTTCGAATAAAAGTAGTGCTCTCAAAAAAGGTGAGAATATAAATTTGGGCCTTTAGACCACTTACAATTATATTTACATATTTAAAAAATAAATTAAAATTCTATTGAAACAAAAAGAACATGAATCTGATTAAGAAAATTGATAATCAATACTCGACAATAAGGAGTAATTGCATTGATTTTCCAAACATGATTTTCCAAGTCAATGATACCTAATTTTGACCGCTTATATATTTATATAGATAAATATTAATAATATGAAAATTATATGAAAATGTTCTGTGTTGAAAATACTATTATAAAAGTATATAATTATTATTTTTTGAATAAATATATTAGTTCAAATAGTTGCTCAAAGTTTACGACCTTTGACCGGAAAAGTCAAGATTGGCTAACTAAAATGGGACGGGAGGAGTACTAAAATGCAACACAATTAGAGATTGAGTGGTCATTGTATTTATCTGTGGGGGGTGTTCATCAACTACATATATACACATACACACTGAGACACACACATAATATACGAGTATGTATATATATATGGACGGGCTCAAAGAAGCTTTTCCGTGAAAATGAGAATAATATTGGGCTTTAATTTATTCCTTAAAATGAATGGATTAGACTAATTTGACATTAAAAAAATGCGGTATCGAAGTTAAAAATATTTGGAAAATTGATGTGCAACGTTTTATTCTATAAAGTGCATTCATGCATATGTAAAATCTTTTATCACAACTTGATAGTAATATATAAATTGTTTTTGTACACAGATGAACTTTTGAATTGTACAAATCCACTCATTCTACATTTGATCCACTTTTATGATCTGAGAGTATTTTTAAGAAGTTTTCATGATTATGAATCTATGGTAAGAGCATCTCCAATGGTATAATGTGCACGGTGCACACGTGGCATGAGAGATAGCCACATAAATATTAGTAAATAAATTCTTTCTCTCCTTATTTTAATGATTTTATACAGATTTAGTAAGTTTTTCTCCACAATGTCAAGGAGGCCGTCTAAATGTTGACATTGCAGTTGACATTGCAGAGAAAAACTTACCAAAATTGTATATAATCATTCAAATAAGGAGAGAGATAATTTATTTGCTAATATTTATGTGGCTATCATTCATGCCACATGTGCACCGTGCACATTTTAGCATTGGAGATGCTCTAACCTCGCCACGTTTTGGTCTTTTGGACTAAAAATTGATCTCGTCCGTCATAGGTCTATTTTGCGAAATCAATGATCAAGACTAATTCACATTTTTCACATAAGATAAGCTATTTTTTACTATCTCCCGTTCTTTAATTCTTGCAACAGTTTGACTTTCACGTTTGTCAACGCACAACTTTGACTGTAATTATATTTAATTATGTATTAGTAAACATTATAAAAAGTTGATATTTTAGAAATTCACATTGATAGGAATTCAATAACATTTTATATGTAATAATTTGATTATGTATATTAGTAGAAAATCGTTGTCAAAGTAGGGTCTATGAATAGTGCAAAAATCACAATGTTGCAAGAATTAAAGAACGAAGTATATGTCTATTTAATTTGAACCAAATTTCATTCTTTAAACGAGCGGGCATGCACCCCTTTCCCTCTATCCCATGAACATTGTACGGAGTATTGAAATGTTGTATAACGAGCTTAATAATTTATGTAGTAGGGAGTATTTGTTTGAAAAATCAATAAGTATATATGTGATCTGTTTACCTTAGCCACCAGATATTACCCTCCACGGCTCCACCTCCCAAATAAGTACATTTATAAGTATTCTTTGCGTCCCTTTTTTCTTCATACCATTATTCATGTGGTAGATCATTAAAAATTTATTCTTTAATTTTTGTACTAAACATTTTATTATATTCAAATTCATTTAATAAAATTTTGATGTCATTTCATATATGTAAATGTACTGATTTTTACGATAAGTAAATGTACTGTTAGCTACTAATATTAATTTACATACTCCGTATCATATCCGGAGTATTAAATAATTTACATTAAGTTAACTTTAAACTCTCTCAAACTTCTTAGTTTAAAATCCTATAAATAAATGGGATGGGGGCGGAGATAGTAAATCATTGTTGACTTGTTTTACGTAACACGAAAGCAAATAGAGTTTTGCTAGGTGACACAAAATGTGTACACAAAATGTGTACACAAAATGTGTACACATGTGTGTCTTTCACAGAAAATTTATCTGTCCTTCACAGAAAATGTGACAGACAAATTTTCTGTGAAGGACAGACATGTATACACCAAGCATTTTTCAAGCAAATGAGGATCCACGTTTTTGTGTACTAGCTTTATTATTGTTATTGTTGTTGTCTATTACTTCCTCCGTCCCACTTAAATCTTTACACTTCCTTTTTGGGATGTCTCATTTACTCCTTTATGTTTCTTTTTAGGCAATTTCTTTTACATTAAATATCCTAACTACCCTTCACCACTCCCTCACTTTTTACATTTGAGCGGATATCATTAATTCTCCTCAAAAGGCAAAGGGCATGCAAGTCATTTCTTCTTCTATTAATTGAACTCCTAAAACACCGTGCCAAAAGCAAAAGTCAAGATTCAACCGGGACTGAGGGAGTACTACGTATTATTATTACTCCGTATTACTTATAGTTTTCTTTATAT